CCACTGAGATTTCCGAAGTTTGCACTATCAAGGCATGATTATACCTTTTGAGTAAAGTTTACAAGAAAAACAAAAAAATGCTTTTCCTTTTGACTCAATTGCACCTTGGAACATACATATCAAAGTCCTTATATCCATCTACCCGCGTATGAAATAACGAAAACAATTGAGCATATAGCATTTGACTGAATATTTCTCAGTGTACTAAACGAATTGCTTGAGGCAAATTTTCCAGGGTGCAACTAAAGGCTACATACAGGAGATTTGGCTTGATGGCTGGATCGATATATTTATTCACCACATCTCCTGCAGGTTTTGCTACGAGGAGTGGTGAGCTCATTTAAAATGCTGCTGGAATTCAGCGATGGCGGTCATCAATATAGATTCATGTAACCTCAACCGTGACGCCTGGTTAGTGAATGTAGAAGAGTTATTTTCTCGCTTTCAATGTGCAGCGCGTTAACTGCGCTTTCTGCGCAATTCGATCAGTTATCGAAAAATGATGCAGGCAAACATTACAGAACTTATATTAAACCTAAACTCGTTATTATTGCATGAAAGCGAAGTTATAGGTCTCTTATTTATCAACGTTATGACATATACTTTGGTCGCCTGAAAAAATTAATGCAAGGATGAAGCATGATGTGAGCCAAGTAATCGCACAACTCAATGGCTTCGCCGTGTTTCACACTATTTATTGAATCCGGTATATACCGTTTGCCATCAGCTTTCAGTCAAAATCGCAAACCTAAATGAAAAGGTTCATATATGGACTCCCTTTTCTCCGTCATCAAGTGTATACGAGCGCTCACATTAAATAAAAAAAAGCTAACCACCATCGGTCCATCTAAGATGGACGACCAGGAACACAGCTTACTTCATTTTTGCGATGTGGCTTTCCACTTTATAATGTTTAATGAGTATCTTTCATCAAATTATACACGTATTTTGCCTCCGCAACACATATTTATGCAACTGTCTCTGCTATAGCCTCCGATTGCGTATCGTACAGCCTCAATCAGCTTTAACCAGAGGTTGTATCTTCTTCTTCCTCTGATAATATGTCTTTATACATACACTTTCGGATGGTAATATTATTTCAATGTTTTTTTCTTTTCTTCATTGGCTAATGTCAAACTGCAAACAGAGTAGATGCACAGACACAAACGTACACTCCTTTGAAACCATCGTGGTCTTTGTTTCTCTACAGAGTAAATTATTTCGACAGATTTCTTAATAAAATCCTGGAGTGGCAAGCAACAGGAAATCACTGATGAGG